AAGTAATGCACCCTCCCGTGCCAACTGGACAGCTGGTCCCAGCCCCAGCTTCAATCCCTCCCTCCTCCATGTCCCTTTCCTTCCCTCCCCCCTCACCCAACCCCAACAGACTTACTGGTTGGAGGCAGCTGTGTCAGCTGCCTGTTTAGCCTATGACCAAATCTCCGAAGTAGCCAAATCTTTTCCAAAGCTTTTCCAAATTGATTTGGATGCTTTTAATCAATTTGGAGCTTTTAATTGGTCTCCCGATTTGATCTGGATTCAGAGATTCAATCCCCGAATCAGGCCGAATCTCCTCTGAATCGAATCAGCTACCGAAGCTTCACACAGACCAATTGCTTACCCTTGCCCCCCCGCCCCCTCCGAGTGCCAGCTCTGTACCTTTGCTGCTGTGAATCAAGGTAGTTAGCATGAAAGTTGGGGTTGGCTACCCCAAGGAAGATTTGAGTGTGCTGTCTGTGAAGCTTAAGAAACTACCTTTTGTTTTGAAAGGAAAGATCCCCTTTAGTTTTCTTTCCCCTAATATCACCTCCCCAGTTATGATTTTGGGAATGCTTTAGGTAACTTATTTGTCAATGAGTGCCACAATGTCTAAAGCCAAACTCTTCTTCAGTGATACATAATCAGCTAGTGAAAAATGGTATGGGGGCTGCAAACATTTGGGAGCCCCTGACTGACAACTCAAAGATAGAAGTAAATAATCCAACAATCTAAAAAGAAAAATAAGGATGAAGCAAGTCAGTTTTTGTTAAGGAAAACTACTATACACACACTAATGTAGAGAAGCCAAGTTCTCTATGTGCCACACCTCCACCAACTTGTTAACTTTGTTCAAACAAAATAAAAATAAAGAATCACAAAACTCCATCTACAACACGTAGGTAGAATTACCTCAGTCCAGAGTTATAGACTGATGGCTGACAGAGAAAAATGGAAAGAACTATAATAAGAATAGCAGCATCAGGTTCTTATTTTATGAACCCAAACAGTTCAGACAAGCAACCAAAATTTTGGGGATCTGAACAGATTGGATGTTTTGAGGTTCAAAAGACTTCTAAGTTTACACAGATGAAAACATAACTGCATCCGAATTTTCAAAAGATTTCAACGAGGTCCCTCATTAAAGGCTCTTAAAAATATTGAGTTGCCATGGGATTGGAAAGAAGTTCCTTTTATTGTTTGAAAGCTGGTTAAAAGATAGGAAATAAAGGATAGAGCTAGATGGTCATTTTTCAGGATGGAAGGTCAAGATTGAGGTCCTCCAAGAATCTGTGCTGAGCTGAGTTTTGTTCAACATTTCATAAATGACCTGAAAAAGGGTATGCATGGTGAAATATCAAGATTTGCAGAGTATACTAAATTATTCTGGGTAGTCACATCCCAAACTGATGGTGAGGAACCGCAGAAGATTTCATAAAACTGGCTGAGTGGGCAAAAAAGGGGTAGATGCATTTGTCAGCAGTTAAGTTCAAGTAGCGGAAAAATAACCTCAACTATACATACACAATCCTGAGCTCTGAACTAGATATTATAACTCAGTAAAGAGACCTTGGGATCATAGTAGACCAGGGGTGGGCAATTATTTCAGGCGGAGGGCAGCTTAACAAGTTGTGGCAAGTTGTCAAGGGCTGCATGGGTAGCCCCTCCCCTTGACAGGTGCCCCGCCCCCTGGTCACCATCTTGGGACCAATGTCCCAATGTCTTGGGACCAATGTCCCAGGGCCAACACCAGTAGGGCCCAGGGCAGGGCACAGGCTGGCAGCAGTCTGTGGAGCTGGGCTGGGCTGCACCAGCAGGGAGAGGGGAGCTGGCCCAGCTCCCCAGATCCCATGCCAGCCAGGACCCTGTACTCCTGCTGTTCTGCTCTGGGCCCTGCTGGTGCTGGCCCTGGGACATGGATGTGGGCCCTGCTCCTGCACCCACTCACTCCCAGAGCCCCCCAGCCCCATGGTACAGGTGGGGGGGCAGTGCACAGCCCCGACCCCTTGCTCGCTGGCAGGGAAGGAGCTGGTGTTGAGCACGGGGGGAAAAGCAGCCCCTCCCCCGCCCCATGGCCAGCGCTACCTGCTGCAGCCACTCGCAGCCCACGCAGGGCTGTCCTGAGCAGACACAGCGAAGGCTGCAAGCGGCTGCAGCGCAGAGTACTGGCCACGGGGCTGGGGAGGTGCCGCTTTCCCCCCCACACTCAGCACCAGCTTGTAAGCCGCCCCCACTGTGAGCCCGGAGCCGGCACAGGTTACAAGCTGGTGCTGAGTGCGGGGGGAAAAGCGGCCCCTCCCGCCCCATGGCCAGTGCCCCGTGCTGCAACCGCTTGCAGCCCACGTGGTGCTGCCTGTGCCTGCTCAGTAGAATAAAAGAGGCACAAAGCGAGGTAATCAAGATGATCAGGTGTATGGAGGAACTGCCATACCAGCTGCAAATGAAAATGCTAGAAAGCTTCTGTTTTGAAAGGAGAAGATTGAAGAGGGATATGATAGAAGTCTATAAAATGATGAAGCATGCGGATAAAGTGAAGAGAACTGTTATTCACCAAGTCCCAGAATACAAGAACTCGGGTGGACCCACTAAAATTAACAAGGGAAGGCTTAAAACAAAGGAAAGCACATTTTTATACAGCACGCAGTTCATTCGTGGAATTGCCACAGAAGGCTGTAGAGGCAGACACTATAACCAGATTGAAAAACGTATTAGACAAATCAATGGGACACATTAAATACACATTAAATAGAACAATCAGGGATGGATCCTCTACTACTGATGACTGATAGGAGAGGATGGCTTATACTAGACATGCCCTGTACAGATACTCTCCCTCATATTTTATGCTTCATGTTAAGCCAATTTCAGAGTATAACCATAACTATAGAATTGTGAGAAGGAATTCCTGATCATTTTTAGAAGGTCAGGTTGTACTTATGAAAAGAATTCTGGTTGCATCCTACAGCTGGGGTGAAATGGCTCCTCTGTCACCGACTCAAATATGGCAATTAAGACATTTACCTTGGCTCTTAGAAAGCTTTATGAGACAAGGTAATGTCCAGATCTCCATATGTTGAAAAATATATATCAGCAGTATTGTGCATTCACTGTGGTGACTACAGCATCGAGGTTGCAAGAAACATTCCACTACAAAGCAAGTCTGACCTCTGTTAAATATCACAACAAATATCTATTAGTTTGAAATTTCACAAATGTGGTCTCCCTGCCAAAGTGTTGTGTGGCAGTCTGAAATATGTAAGGTATGCCATTTAGGAGCTACGTAACTTAGGAAAGAGAAGAATATCTCTCTTTTAAAGAAAACTTCTATGTATTTTTGCCATCTAAAAAATGGCTTGATCTTCTAGATTTTTAAATCATTCTAGATTTTCTGACATTTAAATCTGATTTGAACTATAGCCCTCAAACATCTATTCTTTTGCAAA